AAGGAGCAGGGGAAGAGCTGTTAACCCAAACTTTGACAAAATAAGTCAAGGAACACCAATGCCATTTAACATATATTTATTGAAATCTACTCGATGCAAGGCACTGTGCTAGATCTGGTAGGGGAATCAGACATGAAGGGTCACCCCTGTCTTATAAGAGCTCACAATCTAACAGGCAGGGGGGCAGGTGGGGAGGGCGAAGCTCTAGTGCAAGGCTGATTATAGTAAGTGCCATAAAACAGACAAGTTAAGGAGACCAGGGAGGAGTGAGAGAAGAGCACGAACAACTGAAATGTGGACTGGGGCAGACGTGACTACCATTCTTAGATACGCAAAGAACACTGAAGGCCAAGTTAAAAGAGACCATTTTTAGTTTTGAAGGTAAACACCTAAACTGATACAATGAGAAGTACAGAATGTAAGTATACTAGTAATAGAGAAATTCTCAAATCCCCGATCTGACAGGTTCTCCGGAAGTTGACTTAAACTCATTTCATGGGACAAACGGGATCCTGTACGGATGCCTGGACAGAAAGGCATAGGTCAAACTCACTGAGACCAAAAGGCATAGATTTTTACCCATCTGAGTGAACAGAAGACAGTACCACATTTAAACAGGTGTTGACGACAGTCGGGTAGGACTTGAGCCAGGAACTCGAGCCGGTAGAACAGGAGGAAAACCAGCCACGTGATTCTTAGGAAGCAGCCAAGTGGTAAAAGGCAACTGACTCTTGACGGATGACAGAGAGCAGAGACCCACTCAAGCTGGCTCAGGTTAAGGGAGCCTAGGGTGGGACACAAACGAACTGATGGGGGCAGCTGCCAGAAATCCAAGTACATGTGGCCAGACTCCTGCGGGGTGCTGGAGTGGAGGCAGCTCTGGAGTGCTTGGCAGGAGCCCACAGATCTTCAAGCTGATGCCACCCATGGGGTCAACTCCTCTAAATACTGTGTGGCTCCCACTTTCTTCCAACACCAACTAGAAACTTCTCTCTCATTTCTCTTGTTTGCACTTCACAGACAGAGAACCTCAAAGGCCCAGCCTGTCACCTCCAGACAGCTCTGATGACTGGTTGCTGCCCTGAGTCAAGTGTTTGGTTCTGGTTCAATGAATGTGGCCTGGGGTGCAGGGTGAGGGTCCCAGGGCATGTGACAATGCTGAAGCCCCGGGCTCGTGGAATGCCAGCACTGCGACTGTGTAGGGCTCGCTCTGGAAATGCAGAAGTGGGTGTGACACAACTAATCAACACAGTTCATCTTAATAAGCAGCAAAAATGGTAAACAACAACTTTCATTTAAAAATTTCAGCAAGTATTCAAAACTTTAATAAAAGCAATGGAAGGTTTCTTTCAGAGTATAAGAAAAGGTTAGATCTCCAATGAGAGTCAGCATTCTATGTAACCCAACTGCTCTTCATTTCCCTTGCAAAAGGGATGTGTGTGATTAGAAAGAAAAAATGAAATGAGGTAGATACACAAATGCATAGACAAGCACACACTATAGGAAGCTTGATCACATCTTGCATATGACAGCGCAGTACACCTACGGAATCCAAGGAAATCCACCCCCAAGTCATTAGAGGCAAAAACGGAGCTGGGCGACACTACAGGACACATGTTAAAGCCACAGACTGCTTGAGCTGGAGAGAGCACGGACGTCACCCGCAAACACAGTGACAGAAAAGATGCGGTCTTTAGTGTTAACTCTAGGAGAGGGTCTGTTTCAGAGAAAATGCGAGAACTGAGAATGGAAGAAGTCAGGAGGGTGTGACGGGATGCCAGGGCGCCGCGTCCCGGAGGGGGAGGAACGGAGCAGTGGCGACAACGCGGGGCTCTGAGCTACCAACACTGTATCTGGATCCTTCAGAGATGCTGACGCATGGCTAGTGAACAAGCAAGAGGTGGCCGAGCACTTCCAGCGGATGTCGCCCGACTTGCCCCCTGTGAATGTCAAGTTCCTTACCGGATGACAGTTGTGTCGACCATGTCCTGACAGCTTGCAAAGAGCAAATGGATGCAGAAGGAAGCAGTGATTTCAGACAGTTTCACAACTGTGAGAACTGAGGCCATAGAGCGCGAGGCTAACAAGTTTAACAAGTGCCTGGGGGTCAAGACGGAGACGTCACAGAGAGCCACTGTTGTGGCCTGGGGGCCGTTCCAGACGACCTTCTGGCTAAGGTCTCAGGGGTCACCAGGGGACCCCGCTTTCCAGGATGGGGGCCTGAGAAGCCCCTCCAGGTATACTTGCCGGGAAGCTCGGTCTCGGCGGGCCCATCGGGAAGCGCTGACCTCCTCTCTGGGCCCACTAGTGGCTCCCCCCGCCTGGGCACAGCTGCTGGCAAGTCACACCACAGCCCCGGTGTGGCTGGCTTCTACCTGCGGGGTCCGCAGGTCACTGGAGGCCAGGTTTCTGGCCAGCCCTTGCTGCTGTTTCTCCTGGGGGGGGCTGTTGCGAGTAACAGCCCAGCCCCAGGATGACCAGCTTCCATTTCTATGCCACACGGGCCGTCAGAAGGGCACCATCGCCCTCTGAACCCTTGTTTTATTGCCCCTCCTGGGCAGGGCCGCTGAGAGTCACAGCCCGGGCCTGTGGCGCCAGCTTCTGTCACCATGATGCACAGGGCATCAGAGGGGCACGGCTCTTCTCTGAGCCTCTTCTCTGAGCTCCTCTTAGCTGTAGCTGCAGGAGGTTAACATCAGAACACCTGGGTGAATTTTCCCCTAGTTGCCCAAAGCAAAAGCCACCAGACCGACCTCTTTCTAGTTGCAGAGTCACTCCTTGGGAGGAGGACACAATCCATGTGACAGCATCAGTCAAGGGAGTCTTCTCATGTTCGAGGAGATGTGTCTTGTGTGGCTCTGCTGCTCAGGCAGTGAATCCATGCCGGGCATGGCCCAAGCTCCCAGGAGCTTGATGGATAGCCAGCTGCAGCCAAGACCACATCGGGACTACCCCATTGATCTAGTTGAGGCCCAGGCCTGCTGCTGACAGGCCGGGCTATACTGAGGAACAGTCAGAATGTTCTGGCCAATCCGAGATGGAAGTTTCTCTTGCGTGTCTGTGTGGCCAGGCTGGATAGTCAAGTCCCACTCACAGAGACGCACCGAGTCTGCATCTTGGATGAGGAGAGAGCCTGCTTCTCTGGCCCCTTCCCATCCAGCCTGCCCACCTGGAGCATCCACCTTCCAGTGGGGCAGGGCTTTCAACTTTTCATTTGTAATCAGAATTCCAGAAGAAAACATCCTCATATTGAAGTACTGAAGCAATGGAAGTTACGGCTTAACAGACGACGGTGAGTGCTCGGGTTCGTAAAACCTAAAACTTGCGGACAAAAGTGTAATAAAGCTGCTACCAAGAGCAAAGCAATCAAAATGGAAAAGAGATCATCACAATCGCTCTAGAACGAACAGCTGTATAAAGTCAATATATCCAAAGGTAACTTGATAACTGGTCAAAGGAGATGAACGTACAATCTGCATGCAAGAAAACAGGAACACGATTTAAGTCACTGCACGAGAGAAAGAAGATGAGACTAGGAGTCAGGAGGCCTGGGTCCATCCCCAGTTCCAATACTAATGAGCCATAGAATGCCAGCGGTAATTATGGCGATGACAGCAGATGACCTTCACTGAGTGTGCACCTTCGGACCAGGTGTGGCGTCACGGTTCTCATGATAACCTTAGGAGGTAGTCCTGTGATCACCCCTGTTTTACAGAGCCCAGAACGGAGGGCTGGCTGCCTGCGGGGAGAGGCTATCACTCCCGAAAAAGAGGCATCATCTTATACTTGAGTCCTTGAGATGCCCCTGTTATGGGCGTGCTCTCTCAGCCACTTGAGCTTGAACAGAATAGTGCTGCTGGAGGACAAGACCTATTAACCTGAAACGGACCCCAGCTGATGCTAGTTTTGGATGCACGGGGATGTCACCAGAATGAAGTGGTTGAAAAAAAATGGACGCAAAAGCAATTTGACCCAGATTCAGTACTTGTTCCTGGGAGAATGACCTCACAATGACAAGTTCTAGATGCTTCCAGAAAGTCTTTTAAAAGTCATTTGAAAAAGCCAAACCCGTTAAGTGGTGATGCTGTAGAGCTATAGGACAAATCGAGGAAGAAAAAAAAGCAGAACAAAACAACCACAAATGTCCTAATGGAATGAGAACATGTATTTATGGCTTGGGAGGCGGTTTCTAGTGAGAGCCTCGTGCAGGGACTGTCACAGTGCTGCATGGCGTACAGCTTAGACGCCCGGAAGCCGTCTGAGATGCTTCCGAACTGTCAGATGACTCAAAAGGGGCGACGAGGTTGGTGAAGATGGTGAGGTCAGAGATGCATGTGAAGATTTAGAATAAAATGATCTTGTGTAGCGGCGTGAGGGAAAAAAGGAGTACTCTCTAAATTAATATATTATTCTATGTAATATGTGATTTACAGTATGTATGTATAGCTGAATTAATAAATTAAATATTATAAGACATCTGAGTGTTCTATCTACATCCCTAAAAATTTATAAATTCAAGTAGGCCAAACAACTCTGGGGTGCTGTCTTGTCTCCAGGAAAGCGGGGGTCACCTTACGTTGAGGCCCTCGAGGACTAGCTCTGTGCCTCGCTCTGGGGGTGAGGCAGAGCAGCCCGGCGAAGGGGACCTACAAGCCCCCCCTCCAGCGACACCTGCACATCGCTCTTCTCTCCTTCTCAGTTCCGAGGCCTGTGGATTCCTTGAAGGTACTTGATGCCAGTCATACTAGTCCAAATAAATTAGAATGTCCTAGAAGCTACTCTCGATAGGCAAGATGGGAAACGTGTACACTTAGAAATTGCTGGTGACAGTATAAATTGGATCCGACCTTTCTGACGAGAAAATAGATAAGCGCTACAAAAGTGTTCATCTCCTTTGACTCCGCCCTCCCCCTCTCGGGGACTGGGCCCCGTGGGCCGCCACCGCTGCCGCCGCCACCGCCCGCCACCGGGGTTCGGGGCTGGGGGTGGGGGGCGCTCCTCTAGTCGCGGTGGCTCGGCTGGTGCTTCTGCAGCGCCGACCGCCTCTTGAACACACGGCCACACTCGCCGCACTCGCAGCGTCGCGCTCCGCTGTGGGTCCTGCGGTGGCGACTCAGGCCCGAGCTCCGGCGGAAGGCCTTGCCGCACTTGTCGCACTCATATGGCTTGAGTCCGCTGTGGATGCGCCGGTGCTTGATGAGGTCGGACGGCCCGCGGAAGGCCTTGCCGCAGTCGCCGCAGCCATACGGCCGCTCGCCTGTGTGGATGCGCTGGTGCTCCAGCAGGCTGGAGCTCTGGCGGAAGGCCTTGCCGCACTGGCCGCACTCATACGGCTTCTCACCCGTGTGGATGCGCCGGTGCTTGGTGAGCTCTGAGCTCCTCCGGAAGAGCTTGCCGCAGTGCGGGCAGCCGTACGGCTTGGCGCCGCTGTGGATGCGCTGGTGCTCGGCCAGGCCATTGACGCCGCGGAACGACTTGCCGCAGTCGTCGCAGTCGAAGGGCAGGTGGCCCGTGTGCGCGCGCTGGTGCTTGAGCAGCTCCTGGCGATCCGGGAAGTCACGGCCGCACGCCTTGCAGGCGAACGGCTTCTCGGCCGTGTGCAGCTTCTGGTGGCGGAACAGGTGTGTGCTCACCTTGAACGAGCGGCCGCACTCCTCGCAGTCGAAGGGCTTCTCCCGGCTGTGCACGCGCAGGTGCTGGCTGAGGCCCGCATTCTTCTTGAACCTCTTCCCACACTCCTCGCACTCGAAGGGCTTCGCCTCCCTCTCCGCCGGCTCCCTTTGCTCCGCGGCCTCTTCCAGGGCGCGACTGGGGCCCGGCTGCGGCTCGGCAGCCACGTGGCTCTTGCGGTGCTCATTGAACTCGGAGACCCCCCGGAAGACCCTCCTGCAATCGCCGCACTCCCAGCCCTTCTCCTCGCTGTGAATCCTCTGGTGCTGCACCAGGAGGACCTTGAGCCGAAAGGCGTCCCCGCACTCCTTACAGGAGAAGTGATGCTCTATAGGCAGGTCCTGAGGGCTGCCCCCCCGGCCCCCAGTGTCCCTGTTCCGCTTGACCTCGGGACTGGGCTCGCCGGCCCGTGGGGAGCTGCTGGAGGCCATCTCCTGCGGCTGCGCTTCTTCGCCCATCACCCGCCGCTCGCGCGCCCAGACGCCTCCTGAGAGGAGAAGGACGAGGTTACTCTCCTTTGTCTGCCATCCCGTTCCTGCGGAGGCGGCTGCTGACCGCGGGGCCCGGGGCGGCTGTGGCACGACGGCTGCGCGCATCCAACCAGAAGCCGGAACTGCGGACGAGAGGGGCAGCGAGGCCTCACCGCCGCACCAAAGCGGCCGAGGACATCTCCCCTTCGTGCTGGAGAAGCAGCCACACCCCCTCCCCAGAGGCTCAGCCGGGTCCCCCCCCACCCCCTGCCGAATTTTTCACTTTTCAGGTTTCTTTCTCACTCACCAGAACACTACTTCGCTCAGTCTGCACTAAGGGGTGGGGCCGATACCAGCGTCAGGGGCCGGACACCAGGTAGGATTCAGAACAGGAACTCCTGCACGTGGAAAAGGAAAAGGGGTTTGGCTGGCGGCCGGAGATGCCATCAGAACACAGCCGGGGTGCAGCAGGGCCTTCAAAGATGAAACCCTTTCAAGCCACAAAGTAGAGCCTGGTTGTGCCCTCCGGCAAGCCACGCATCCATTCCCGATGCCTTCCCCGAGGGCCGGCTCCCTCCAGGCAAGGCGGAGGCAGACCCTGGGCCCATCGGATGGAGCGCCAGATGGACATCCCGAAGAACCGATCCTCCCTTTCTCCCGGTTCACACTCCTCGGTGTGAACCTCGTCCTGTGCTACAACTCCCAAGCCTGACCCGCAGCGGACTCCTGTCTTAGCAACCCTCCCCACCTTACATGTGCAGCCCCTGAGACAGCAGAGGCCCACGCGGCTGTAGGGAAGCTGGCGCAAGGGCTGGGGCATCTTACCCCGGAGGTCGCGTTCCTCTAATGTGCCAGCGTCCTCTGCTCAGCGTCCAGCCTGGGCCACGTCATCAAATGTCACTGAATCCTGAAAGAACTCCCGGGATAAGTAGTCCTTCTGTCCATTCTAGAATGAGGTGGGAGCAGTGCTAGTAACAGCAAGGGATAAGAGGTGAGGGTCTGGAGTGGTTGTGCATCACTAGCACGGAGATCTAACACAAGCCTCGGGAAGTCCTGGAAAGAGAATCTGACCAAGCATCAGAAACCTGGGCCATGGCCCGGGCCTCCCACTATCTTCCCAAGGGACTTCCGTTCAATCACTTTCCTGGACTGAAATGCAGCTCCCCCACCAGCATAATGGGAATTACAACCCCAGCAGGCATTGGTTTCTTGGTAGACTCAGGCAGAAAGCAAAGGGAGGAAAGGCAGAAGCTGGAGTTCAGGTCCTGTAGTGTGTCATGCTGGGAAAAGAGGGAGAGGCCACAGCCAAAACCAGGGAGCAGTGACAGATTCCTAAGGCAGGCAGAAGGAAGCACAGCTCACCTGGGCCTCAAGCGTCTCAGGAGGGCCTGCCAGAACCTGGTTTCCTGGGCTCCATCCTGGGGGAGGGCAAGGCCCGGGGAGGGGGCAGGCAAAGCTAAGGAAAGTGAGAAGAGCCATGAGTGACAGCGGCCCTGCTTTTGGGTACCCTGGGACAAGACTAGTGATTTCCTTTCCCCTGGTTTTATATCTCATTCAGTCTTCTCTTGCACAGGAGCTGAGTGACAAGCCAGAGCACACAACCGTGAACACTGGGGGACACAGACGGCAAAGGGTTAATACAGACAGGCTAGAGGGAACCCGGACAAGACAAATGAATGTTGGCCCAGGAACAGCCCGGAGAAGACAGACACAGATGGAGAGCCAACGGTAGCAAGACGGGCTCTCTGGGACAGGCCTCCTCGCAGCCAGCCTCAGAGAGGTCAGTGCTCACACTGCATAGGAAGGAAGTGTCTCCAAAACAATATCAGAAGAAAGACCTAAGTGAGAAGACAGGTGAGATTTTCCCCATTTTGGAAGGGCAACAAGAAAGACTGGGCCACTGGAGCGAAGAGAGGCAACGAAAGAGCGGGATCCTGGTCTCACTGGCCAGAAGCGAGGCCTTTTAAAGGCCTTACCCCACCCAACGCAAACGATGAAGCCGGTGCCCATGAGACAGACACAGACAAGAAAGTTTCTGAGAAATGTCTGACCAAATGAAAAGGTGAACAAAACAACTAGAAAAAGAAGCCTCAAAGAAAAGATCTTCAAACACTACGTTGCTAAATAAAAGATCTGAATGATATGTTCAGATTTACCTTTTAATTCCAGATTGCAAAATATGTGAAATGTTGTGATTATATTACCACAAATGTGTGTGTATCAGAGGCCTCCCATTTCAGCCAATACAAAGAAACAGGTACACAGTTTCTGTTCTGATGTCAGGTCAATTCACAAGTAAATGAAAAGGAGGCATTTTTTACACTAGCTCAAGGAGTAGAAGACCCAGACATTCCAGAAAGACTTTTACATAAAATCGGGTATTATACTGAGAGGGACAGAGGGACGGACACTTCTACTTCTGGCCAGGATATTGGAACAAAGAACAATGTCCTGCTGTAAACAAGTATCAAACTGGATAGAAGCGATTTGAAACAAGTTTTCAGATACTGGGCAGCAGGAAGTGCAAGATCATCATCCCGAGAGAAGAGAAACAACTGTGATGAGCCTATCATTGCCCTGGCTCTGCCCGGAGGCCATGTCCAGACTGAGTGTGCAGGGAAGGGGGCCTCCAATAGAGCTTGGTGGCTTCATCAAGACACAGACTAGCATTCAGGACAGCTGATGCAGCTAGAAGTTGCAGAGAAGAGTGTCAGAAAGGAGGGAGCGAGGCAGAAAAAAGGAGCTCCAAAAAATCAGCATAGTGCTCCCCTTGGGCCTTTCCTGACTCCCAAGCCATGGTACATAATAAAACTCCCAAAGACTAGGAAAGGAAGGGCCTGGAGGCTTTAAGCTGAACAATTCCCAACCAACCAGAGTAGAGTCCTCAGTGATGCCTGGGGCCATTCAGTAGAGAATCAGAGGGGCTGTGCCTCAGTAGTAGTACTGACCGTCTCCTGGAGCCACAGCTACCCTGAACGTGCTCTAGAAAAGCTTAAGAATAGGCCTTGATGTGATGAAGCTGTTCCATAAATAACTATACCCTCAAAGGAAGTCCAACCCTCTTCAAAGTGAAGTAACAAAACTCTAGCCGCTCAGCAATATCACCTGGAACGCCAAGAAGCAGGAAAATCAGGTCAACGGACATAACTCAAAAGTGATGACTGGCAGAACTTACAGACAAGGACAACAGCTAGTTTAACTCTGTACAAGACTGAGAGAAGAACAGAAACACAATGGAAAAAAATGAACGATATAAACAAGATACAAATGGGGCTTCTGGAGGTGAAAACTGTAACAGTTAAAATGAAAATTTCACTCGATGTGATTAGCAGCAGATTAGACACTGACCCCTGTCCCCCAAAAGAGATTAGAAAACTCGAGGATATAGCAACAGAAACTATCCCAAATGAAGATCAAAATGAAAAGAAAAAAGATATTTAAAAAACAGTGTCAGTGACCTGGATATAACAGAAAATCACCTAACACACATGGAACTGGAATCTGAAAAGAAGAGGAAAAGGGAGAGGATAAAAATGTAGTTGAAGAAATACAACTAATACAACAATACAATACAAATACAACGATACCCTAATTTGATGAAAACTAGCTCCAAGAAGCCCAGCCAACCCCTATCAAGACTAAACAAACCAACAACAAAACCAAAAAACCACACGTGCACACCAAAACACGTCATAATAAAATTGCTGAACACTAGTGATAAAGAGAAAATCTTACAGCAGCAGGGTGGGGGGGGTGTCATGTTCTATAGAGAAGCTCAAAGATAAGAGTAACTGTGGACTTCTTATCAGAAAATGTGCAAGCCCCAAACAATTGAATGACATTTTTAAAGTGCTAAAGGGAAAAAACCCTGTCAACCTACAATTCTATATTCAGGGGAAATACCCTGCAAAAATGAGGGCAATATAAAAACTTTTTCAGACAAAAAGAATTGGTCACCAGCAGACCTGTACTATGAGACACATTAAAGAAAGTTCTTCAGGTGAAGGAAAATGATACCAGATGGAAACTTGGATCAACACAAAGGAATGAAGAACATCAGAAATGTAAAAACACTTTTACCCACTTTATTTTTAAATCTTTAAAAAATAACTGACCATTTAAAGCAAAAATAATAAGGTACTGTGGGATTTATACCATACATATAAGTAAAATGTATGATTTAGTGTTTTAGGAAGCCCTCCGAGACTCTGATGCATGCTAATAAGACAGGAGTGGAGATAAAATACAATTCTAAAAAATAATCCAAAAGAGTAAAGCAACAAAGGAAAAAGAACAGAGGGGATAAATAGAAACAAATAGCAAGATGGTGAACTTAAGTCCAACTACATGGATAACTAAGTTAAATGTAAATGGAGTAAACACTTCAGTTGAAAAGCAGGGATTACTAGACTACATTAAAAAAAAACAATACTCAACTCTATGCCGTCTGTAAGAAGCTTTAAATATAAAAACTTTAAATGTAAAGACATACATAGGTGAAAAGTAAAAGCATGGAAAACAATATACTATAGGACAAAACAATCCCACTGTCAAAAATAAGAGAAGGAGAGGGTGAATGATGAATGTGGCTCAGAGGGCTGGAGACCTTACTGAAGAGTCCTAGAACTCAGAGCAGGAAGAAAACTGAAGAGCTTAAACATAAAATCAACAAGTGGTAGAAAACAAGAAAAAAAAGAAAAGAAAAAGAAATAAAAATGAAAAAAAAAAATCAACAGGTGGCTAATATAGATGACACACAGATTACAAAAATGCAAATCCTTTAAAGAAGATGGAGACAGACAGTAACTGTTCACTAAAAATCCAAAGAGAGTAGGGACGGAGAGAGAACAGCCAACTACATATTTGCAATTCAGGGGAAAAAAAGGAGTAAACGGAGTGACTTGTTGCTGAACTAAGCACAGCTCTACCATAATGTGTGCCACACTGGGGTAGAGTCTGGATTTAGAAAGGTCTTCTGCTTTCTGTTCCATACCATGTGAATTTTTAGTAACCGAGCTGCATTTCTTTGGTAATCAGAAAAGAGTAATAATTTAAAAAGATTTGGGTAGATTTTAGATAAGACAGGCTGATGGGAATGTGTGGGCAGTCCCAGAAAGCTCAGAGACAGGAAGGACCGTGGGGTTGGGACTTCCTGGGCTCCTCTCTGCAGGCTCTTGGTGCCATCACGGGTGTGAACAGAAGGCCTCCTTTAGTCTCAACATCCACAGAAGCCCTAGCCCCGTCTTTAGCCCACTGCCCAGCACAGGTACTTCCCTGGTGTGTGAGTGACACCCCAGATGCCCTGCAGCTACGCCCTCTGTGGCCCACTGTCAGCTGGGTAGGGCCCCTCTGAGCACTTGGGAGTCTTCCTGGTGTATATCTGAGGTCTGGTTTGACTTTGGCTTCCGATACAAAACAAACTGGTTATAGAATCCTTACACAATTCATTAAGAAAACTCACTTCCATTGACGTGGAGGTTTTGCTGCCATGTGGAACGGGCAGAACATCTCACACTTACCTTTTGAAAAACATGGTCCGTTACAACCTTGTCTCACTGTCCTCAAGCCAGAGACCCGAGGCCTTAGCCCCTTACAAAGACCCCAGCCCGGCCCACCTGGCCCAAATCCTGCACCCCACATCTCAGTCATTCCTTCCAGACACCCTGGCATTCATTCTGTCCCAACTATGCCAAGGTGATGCCCCCTCAGGGCTCTGAACATGCCACAGGTGGTTCCTTCTAAGAATTCAGACCTCAATCAAGTGTCATCTCCTCAAAGTGTCTTCACTCTCGAGCCCAATCACCATTTACTCATAACACTTCTCACTACCTAACAATCATCCTCAAATGAAATTGTTTGTCTTTACCTGACTCCCCAGGAGAAATGTCACCTCCCATAGGATACAGACCTTCTCTTTCCTGGCCCTGAATCCCCAGCATCTGCAGGAGCTCCTGGCATCAAGGGGACGTGGGATAAGCTGTGGGGAGAGGGGAGTGTTAACAGGAGCGAACCTCTAGTTACAGAGCACCTTCTACGTGTTTGGTCCTGTGCTTCTCCCTTCTCGTAAGTTAATCACCGAGACCAATAATTCTCACTGCCTCCATTGCACACAGAAGTAAGTCATGGACTCAAGAGGTTAAGTAACTCGCCTAAGGTCCAGCTCCCAAGATTTAAGACTTTTCGAGCCACACCAAAGAAAGGCAACAGGCTGTTATTGAATGTCCTCAGAGCCTGATGGTTTATATGGACTTAGGCAACTGGCTTTAAATCATCCTATCAACATGCCATCACAGACCCTTGCTTGGCAATAGTCACACACATCATTCTCTCTCCCTCTCTCTCACTCTCACAAAGTTCTTCCAAGCCACCCATGTTTAATTGAGCACGTGCTCCTCAAGTGTTCTATTTAATTGAGCAGAGCCTATCAAAGTGTTTTCACTTAATTGGAATGATTAACTGTTGAAATCCTGCAGCCACAACCCCCATGTGAATTATTAATTATGCTTTCCCGTGTAGCAACAGGAGTGGCCCTTCCCGTAGCAGGCTTGCCCAGGAGACGTAACCCGCAAGAACTTCAGGTCAGCACACGCACTCCCAGTGCGCACGGACGTACAGCGGTCATCGAGAAAGTGCTCACAAAAACAGATGGGAAAAAGGGAGCCCCGCTTTCACCAAAGTAGCTAAATTCTGTATGATGAAATACACATTAACCCCCACTGCAGTTAAAAGTAAAATTATCACCAATCCCGAAGATCATGTGATTGCTCAGAAGCCATGCTATGTGGCTGCTCTACTTTGAAATGGTGGAATGAACCTGGAAAAGATGCTGGATGCTGTGACAAAAATGACAAGTAGAGATGTCCACTGCCTTCCAAAAGTGGAGCTGCAGGGTCAAGTCAAAGCAATTCCAGGAAGAATATGAAAACCACAGGAACGCACCTGATGGGTACAGAGGATGCTACAGACCTTGACCGGAAGGCACTTTCATTCACCCGAATCTCATAACCCTACACCCACCTGGGAAACGGCAGTCGGGAGAAAGAGTATGGGAAAACAAATCTCTGCCTCTTAACAGAATGACATTAGGCTCCTTCTTTCCATGGGTTCTGAAGTGCAGTCTAACGCCTATCCACTCCCGGAGAGTGAGGCCCCCTGCCAATGGTGGACCGCAGACCCCACCCCAGACCGAGCGAAGTGCCACGGACACCGTGGCTGTTTGATGAACACAGGGAGACCCTCTGGATGCGAACCCCCTGCTTGACAATCCGAAAAATCATGCATTCTACAGCATGAGAGCTCAGGGGAGTGCAGAAATAATCCTGCCCATGTGCTTTAGATGGCAACGTAAATTTTAATCTACTTACTTAAATCAAATTTTCTGTATAGAATCAGAAACATTAAGAGAACCAAAATAACCATTCCACTTTGATAAGAAAGAACAGAAATTAAGAGCTGAATTCAATGGAGACAAAAAACCAACCCATGTAAAAAAAAAAGTAGTGAATAATTAAGTGTCTTTTGGTTGCATTGGAGCTCAGAATCCCTCCTCAGAATGTGCTAGTGAAGTCTGCATCTGAGTGGGCAGATGCCCCTGCCCCATCACTGGGGCAGCGGAGAGGCAGCAAGACCACCCAAACTAGATCTATCTAGCAGCTTCCAGAAACTTCTAAGGGATGCCAGAAATACCTGGACTCCCTGGACATCTAAATAAGGACCTGTAGCAGAATGTCCTCAGGCCCTGGAAGACAATAGGTAGCTCATGGTGTTCAGTTCAGTTCTGGGCCAGAGCAAAAATGCCCTGGAGCGTGTCTTTATAGACCAGACAAGAGACCTCACTCTCCAGCATCTAATTCAGATGGGTGCCTGTGGCTTTCTGTCCCGTGCAAACGATCACCTAGATTCCCAGTTCTCCTCACTGGGTGTCTGTCCTCCTTTGAGTCCTGCTGCTTAGACTGAGAACTGTCTCCGGGCAAAGATGGTTCCGCGACGCTGACATACATGAAAATACAAGCGCTTCCAGAAAGGAAAAGATATTTCCCACCATCTTGCATCCTCACTCGCGGGGCCTTCTGACAGCATGACCAGCTTTAAGGCCAGCAGACATGGTCTGTCAACTCCCAGACTTACCAAAAGAGACATGCAAGGATGGCTCATTGTGTCTTAGGCCGATTCTGAGTTGTAAAGTCAGGCGGGTAAGATCCCACCTGTTGGGACTGAAATAATTCAGGGGGACAGAAGCAGACTTGGGGGCACCTTCCAG